GCACAAAATGTCAACCGTACTGCTGTGATTGAAGAGGTGAATGGGGATGAATTCCACCTTCATGCGTTTCTCTGTACCCTGGTTAAGTCTCCCATAAAATAAAGAACTGTATAAAATTTAAATTAAATTAAAGGGGGAGAAACACTAGACAACTGAAGGAGCCGCTTAATAGTGTAACAGGAAAGTATGTGCAAAAAAGAGAACATGGGGAATAGTAACCCTCAGTTTGGAATAATATCTAACCCAGATATATCACGGCACAAATGTAGCTAAGATTCTGCAGTCATAGGGTGGGGGTGCAGAGAAAAATGACCACACAGCAGTCTCACACTGTAGCTCTGCAGCAGAGGAATCTGAAAATGCAATCTTTTTTTTTTCCTCGTTCTGGAACAACCGGTAGCTGCCCTGAGGACTGAGCCAGCCCGTGCTGTAACTGGTTTCCTCCGAATCGCTACGTTCCACAGCCCCACTGCCTACACACTGACAGACACACTCACATACAATGCACACTTACACTCACATGCAAGCGGACACACACTCACACAAACACACGCATACAGGCATGCACACATGCACATACAAGGGCAATGCGTACACACACACACACTCTCAAACAGGCTGCATTTCACTGAATTCTGCCAGAGGTAGAAAAGGAAAGGGGGAGGCGGGCTCAGCACACACACACATACATATGGACACACACGCTCAAACTCGCACAATTCCTTTTCTCCCCCTCTTCACAAAGACTGAAGGTACAAAAGGATGAAGCACACTGACGCCCTGGCTGCGCCTGGCCAGCGACATGCTAACCTGCTCTGCCTCCGAGTCGTAGTCCTCATCATCAGCGCTCAGCGACATGGCCATGGCTGCCTCATAGTCCGTCCAGCGCGCAGCTCACTGACATGGCTGCAGCCTCAGCCTGCTGCCGTCTGCCAGTTGGCCCTCCCCTCCACGGGGGAGCGGGCGCCTGCACCAGCACAGGAACCCGAGCAGAGGGAGCTCATGAATATGCGCTGGGAGGGCCTGGAAGAGGGAGGAGGGGGGAGGCCGCGGCAGCCAATGAAGAGGCAGATGGTGTCTGATTACACAAAAAAGGCGGCCCACAAAAAGAGGCCCAGGCATTCAGTGAGGGGGCAGGGTGGAGGCATGGGTGTGTAAGGGAAATCACTGAAATAGGCTCTGAAATGCTGCCTGAAACTATTCCCATTTAACAACAAAAAGCACACACACTTTGCCAATCTTAAAAAATGTATATGTAGCACATTTTCTATTGTGGCTGATTAAAAATGCTGACTTCTTGCTTGTACAAAATGTACCATCCTTTTCTCTGGACTCGATTATTCTGCCCTTCGTGTTTGCAGCTCTGCCATGCTTTCATTTCCCTGGCCAGTCCCCCACAACTGGGACAGCAGAATCTCCATTGCAGGAAATTTAAAGACAGCCACAGAACACACAACTGTATCAAGTTTCAACTGGCAGTATTCAGGAGAATTCTTGTTCATGTAGATTAAAGGAGACAAATGTCATTATTCCCTATTAGCGTCTTTACTAAGAAAACAATAATTGTGAGAATACATTATCAAAAACTAATCCTAAGTGAAAACAATCCTGTATTTTATCTCATAGAATGTTGGCAATGGTTTTTACATTAATGTTTCACACAGTAAAATTTACAATCGTCTGGAATCTTCAGCAGTGATGGATTAAATAAAAGATGTCCAAGATTGGAAAGGAAGCCAGTAACGTCTATCTAAATGTGTTGTTTGTTAAGTGAAACACTGAGCTCCCCTTTGATAGTCAAAGATCACACCCCTAACACTTACTTAATAGGCAATCATAGAGTTTTTGTGAGGGTAAAAGCAAAAGCTGGCAAATATTATATATATATATAATCTATAAAAGTATAAAACAAAAACAACAGACCACTAAATCACACACAACTACAGTGAGAAACCACATGTCATTGATGGGGAGGGAAAGCAGTCTGACAGTTCTAAACGGCATACAATCTCACATAACAGTGCAGCTTTACTGCCAAAAACCCTCAGTTCCCTTTTTTCTTCATATGATTTCAGTAATGGAGTAAAATACATGGGAGGAGCATTGTGTTTATGGTGATGACGTGTAAAAGAAGTGTATATGAGTATCATTTTTTTTTCTTATGTCCCGATTGCGCAGCCTTGGGAGATTAACAAGGATAAACAAGCAAACAAATAAACAAACAAACAAACAAGCAAATAAAGTATACTGTTGTGCAACGTGGAATTTTCTCCCAACATGCACAGTGCTGCTGTTGACAGACCATATGACCAGGAGGAATAGAGTTCATTTACACTAAACAAAAAACAGTGAGAAAATAGCCTTTTAAATAGTCAAGCAATGAGTCAGCACAATCCAGAATATCCAACGTCTGTGCTTTTTTTAAAATATATATTTTCTGTAGCACTACGAAGCACTTCTCTTTTTACAGTGCACATTTCCAGAAACAGTTTAATTTCTGTCCTATCAAGTTTACATACTTGCATAACTGCCAGGTTCACTCAGAATTGTAGTGGAATGTGGAATGTAATTTAATTACAGCAGTAAAAGACAGGACTTTATTTTTACAGCACAGAGCGAGCACTTCACTTCTTCAGTACATAATGGCAAATTCCAGAGCAATCTGCAATGACTCACACCCACTGGACTGTGTTCATCTTTACAGGCACTTTTATGCTCCCTCCTACATGCATATTTTTTATTTTTTTTACCATTGACTACTTTACAAGCATTCAGATCTCAATCAAAGCGGTGGATTACTGTACACCGCCGCTGGGGCTCATGCATATGCTAATTCTGTTATCTGCAAAGATGGGAAACCTGTTTTTAGCCCACATGGTAAAAAAAAAACACCTATACTTGTTTGAAACCTGTGCTGATTTACGCACACATGGTGAATCTCAGCCAGAGCGCACAGCCAGATACCACTGGATAGCCGCATGAAATTATGCTGAGTAGTTGCCAAGGACTTTATGATCGTAAGAATACTGAAACTGCAGTTGCTCTCTTCCAGCTTTTTGCTTCGCATGCCCGCACCTAACATTCAAGACACAGGAGGAAACTCAGCCAATGGGAGCCATTAGCACAAATTTCTCAGGGCTGCTTTGAGCGCCTGAATTCTCAAATGCTGTTAAGTCTTTCCTTTTAGCAGTAAGCAGGAGCAGCAAGTGTGCAAGAATGAGTCAGAGTATATCAGGTTTAGTACAAAGAAAGGTCAGGATATTATTTGCTGACCTGACAGCACATCATGGCAAAGGTGTGAAAAGCATTTGGCCTGGTTTATCAAGCTTTTGCACAAGACCAAAAACTGCACCCTGCCTTTTTGCTACATAATAAAACGTTCAGTGCATATTTTAATTGAAAAGAAAAAAGCAAAGCAGATTAAAAAAAAACAGAATACAATTTAACATTTTTGTTTATAAAAAAGTAAGTACAAATTTTGCTCTCATTACTGTGTGAAAGCACTGCTGATAGTGTGCATTTTAACACATGGAATACTGTTAAAAACCAACCATATTCAGTGCATATTCGTGCAGAATTAGGCACATCAAGAGATATACATTTTTAATGCAGAGCTGAGTATTTTTTCTCTGTGGCTCACTGACCTGTCAAGTCATCAAAGCCAGTCAGTCCTGCAAGGTGGGATTCAGGCAGATGCATTTCTAGTCACATTTTAACCATAGTTTATCCTAGCATCAAGGCATATTCGTTGCCCTCTGACCAATTGAAGCAAGTCTCTTTAAGCTCATCATCCCTCAGATAGTACCAAATGCCACAGATGCCAGCCTTATGCTCCAATTTATTCATATTCCTTGCCCACCTCCCCCCCCACCCCCCACAGAGCTGGAAAAACAGGGGAACGCTGGAGGGTTCTTCATAAAGCAGCAGAGCTGGAAACAAATTTCAATATCATACTCATTACACCTTCAGTGAGCTCCTCACTCGAAATGATGCAAATGTGTTCAGCTGGAGCTCCAGGGAACAGATGCACAGAGGAAAAAAAATGCAACAGTATTGAAAACTGCAGCACAGACAGTGCATGCTATATTGCAGCCTTTCCTAAAAACATTTTGCTCGTGTCCACTGAACTATCAATGGAAAAACAAGGAGACAACCTTTAAAAGCTGGCATAAATATGCATTCAGCTGTTGCCCTCTGTACCATAGTACAACACCACCTGACCATTGGTTCCAGAACCCAGTGCATGCACACACAGAGTCACAAATGGAGCTCCCTCACAACATCAGCGAAAGTGTTGATATTCCACTAAAATCTGTGCAAAAACACTTGTCCTCGCAGGACCTGCTAGACATGCAGAAATCCACAGCATCTGCAATAGCTCAACTGCAGCCCCAAGTAGCTCTCAAAAACCATCACTGAATGAGAAAAAAAATCACAGCATTGAGCCATAAGGGTGGTTACACTACAAGTCATAATAAGAGTGACAAGTTGCAACACCAGCGCACTGATGGTACTATTTGGCTCAGCATAAAAAAAAACAATGCAACAGGAAGCTGTTTTATTTCTTCCAGATGCAAACCACAGGACATTATGAAATGGGACAGGTACTATTTGCACAGACAAATCATTTTATTGAGACTCAATGAACAAACATACATTTTATGTGCTAATTTGTGTTCATCATAGAGGAGTATTTGTAGCCAGGGTCTTCTTGTTAAACCACACAGATGAAACGGTGACACGGCAGTGTGAATGTAAACAGAGCATCATGCTAATGTAACTAGTACTGTGAAAGAGTGCTCTCCACCTATTTCTGGCAGCTGCCATCTTACTCTACCTCTCTATGTTTCGGGAACAAGAACACAAATATTCTGGTGTACATTCCCACTGAAGCGGCACAGGAAAGGAACTGTTTTCTTCTCTTTCCAAATGACTGAATGTAGACAAATGAGATATCCTACTCTTAAAAAAAATAAAGGTTAGCTAGATTTTTCTCCTACCTTGGATTTCTTGGGCCAGCAGACAATGGGCACGCCAGTCAAGGCCAGCTCCGGGTCATCGTCAGCATGCTCCTTCAGGACAACCTGGCAGGCAGCAGGGATATGTGATGAAGGTCAGCTCAGGGATACAGACTTACAGATCCTCTTCTAGTACAAACAATCCAACAGCTGCATCAAAACCATCCTGAGCCATACCACAGGAGCACCATTTTAGGCTTCAATAGTGAATGAACCCCTCACTTCTATCCTTAATTAAATCTCGCTTGATACAGTCAGGTCTAAACTGACACACAGGAAGCAAATGACCGTCGTGTAAAGTTTACACCCTTCCATCAACAGAATATGAGAAAGGTCATTTTAGAAACAAAGGTAGACAGCATTGACTGATGATGTAATCCACTTGATGCTGTCCCTTACTGACTGACACAGTTTAGTTCTTTAATCTTCCCTTGGCTGCAAGTGACTGTATGCAAATACGGCCATTGGCAATGAACAGCAAAAGTCAGGATTCCTCCAAATACCAAAGGCTTGTCCTATTGTTTCTGAATTAAAGACGCAGACACTGCAGTATGACAGAATACCGTACAATTTTCAAGCTTGTAAGCATTTTGCATGAACTGGTTTCACCAGAACCCAAAATAAATCAGCCAGTTCTATTAAAAGCAAAGCACAGGAGGAAGGTTTTGCAAGAAAAAGGCAAACAAGCTGGTTGATTAAATGTGGTCAAAATATATCACATTAAGGTGTGCCTGTACAGTATCCCAGGAGGATTATTTACAGTGATCTGTTTGCAGAGAAAACTGGTTAGGTCATTGGTTACTGATGTGGGTGACATCCATTATCCTGTCTGTAGACAAGAAAACTCCAAAGAAAAAAACCATTAGGCAAAAGTGAAACAAGGAGAAGAATGAAGTGCAGCTGACCTTCATGTCCTCCAGTAGACCCTGTGGGTCCTCAATGCCTTCAGGAGCACACTTCTTGTTTTCAGGAAGGGACTCTAGCTTTTCTACAAGAGCCTTTAGCCCCTTAAGCTCAAATTCAGTTAGGTGAGTCCATTTACTTGGGGGTTCTGGCACAGGCGACCCTGTAGGGGTCCTGGGCAGGTCTACTGGGTTAGCGGGAGTGTCATCGGAGTCATTTGTGTGGGCCTGTCTTGGGGGACGGGCATGCCGCTCATCCTGCAGCTGTGTCTCGCAGGAGTCCTCTTCCATGTCAAGCCTCGAGTCGGAGGAGAAGCTCTCAGTGCTCAGCTTCCTATCTGCATCTGAGGAGCAGCAGGGAAAACAGAAATAGGCAGAATAATGAGAGAAGAGATAAAAAGAGGGATAGTAAGAGAAGAAAATTATGAGGAAGAAAGTGAGAGAGAGTGAAGAAAGGGAAGGAGGAAAAAGAACAGTAGCAGACAGAGGCAGACAAATTATGCCTCCAGGGAACCCAATACCAAATTAATGTTCCCGTTCCCTATGTTGTACAACACAGACTTTCATAAAATTTTCAGGTTTCATGAATGGAAAATGGGACACTCTTTGGATAAAATACTTTGAGAATGAGCCTCCTCCATTGATTTCGCATGAATTTCATTATGCTGTTCCAAGAGATGTGAAATGCTGCCACCCCATGGAAGTAACAGTAAATAATTTAACATCTCTTGTGTAACAAAATAATTAAACATATGAACACTAGACTACAATATATAACCACCTAAATAGCTCTTACTAAATAGTGATGCTCAGCAACAACGCAATACACTCAGAAGGTAAAAGTGAATATAGCTCTCTTTCCCTGTTTTTCGTGTAGTTATATTGTGTTTTTACGTATCTGGATGACTAAATGATATACCTAAAATTATATTTATAGTCATGAAAAATGCTGCATTCTAAAACTCTAGGTGCAGAAAACTCAGGAGTAATGTCAATTTACTCTGGACAAGCTGGTGATGTATTTTTCTAACCAGAAATACAAATATGGTTTTACATGGGAAAATTAAAAAATGTATTTTTGTCATGTTCTTTACCCCAGAAAAAAACTGCACAGATTTAGTTTTTTAACAAATACTTGAGGGCTTTTGCCTCTGTTATCGGCATTCGCTTACCAATTAACATAGATTCCCTCCGGAACTCGCTGCTTAGATGAGATCGTTTAGTCAAGCAGTGCACATATCTCTCCATGACATACCAGCACATCTCATAGTAGAACGGATAGCGGAATTTGGCATGAACCTGAAACAAACACGTTTCAATTTCAGTTGGGAATTTAAAAATGGTCCCATCAGCACAAACAAACATTTATGAATAGACTCAACACTACCCATTTCTCACTTTTATCCTTCAGAAAGCTATAATCAAAAGCTGTAATGCTGCATGTACACAACAAAATACAATGAATGCATGCACTGCCAGCACAGTCTTTCTAGCAGCTGTAAGACGTTTTACAGTGCATAATATTACTGCTAACAATTTTATTCTCCCTCTGATAGCCAAGCTGGGAGATGGGCCGCTAC